TCCGATTTAAGTAATATTAATCATTAAATGTGTATTCATCTTCTGTTTAGCTGATTAACAGAATTGTGCTTTTTTTCAAAATAAATCATTTTAATGGACACTCTTTCTAATAATATACAAAATTGAGAATAATTCATTATAAATGAAAGAACTAATTTTATTTGAAGGATAATTGTTTCTTCCTAGTCTACGATCCATTGATATAGTCTCACACGAGTTTAAAACTATTTTCCTCAGATTTTGTACAAATTACATTTCCCTCAACTCGATAGATCATAATTGTTTTTCAGTCAGTGAGTGACAAGATGAGTGGGTTAATATTTCACCAACAAATTGATACCATTATGGTAAGCAAAGATGGATAGTGGGTAGCAGTGGAATCCAGTTTAACAAGCGTTTCGTCCTATTTGAGACTCGTCAGCTGGATGTATCTGCATCTCAGAGTTGATGTACATGTACCAAGTACCTTTCGCTTCAAATGCCATCACGCTATCCACTCGGCCACTGAGTCCTGATAGCCACTTGCTTGTGAGATGAGGTGAAGTTTAAATTCATTTAGTATTGTTTTTTAGCCACTATCCATCTTTGCTTACCATGTTTGTGAATTAACGCTATATCGAGGCAATACACACAGTATGCACATATGCCAATCAGAAACTAACCAGTTGCAGTCCTAACACATCGATGGGAAGATTTAAACAATACTAAATGAATTGATACTATTATGATTTACATTATTTAACTTCACTCAGTTTTAGTTTGTCAAAAAGAGTTCTATCGAATAATGGTTAATGATATTATTGCAATAGTAATTAGTTATCAAAATAAAAGGAAATCTTTCCTTATTATAGTTAATTTGCATGATTCTTATAATATAGCTGCTTATATTTATGTAAACAAATTTATAAATTCTATTTCTTCTTAATCTATGGTTTAATCCTACATGTACACATCAATCTGAAATTCGTGTTGTCGTTTTATAAAATGTAACTGGTAAACTTCTATCAATAAAGATACACCTACCAGTAGTCAAAATGAAAAGAAGATAAAACTGTTAAACTAGATTAGAAAAAAGTAAGAGAAAAACAACTTGATTTATAAAAAGAAAATAACAAGGACAAATAACTGGAGAAAAAATAAAGTGGAAGAAGGAACATGTTTCAATTTTTGGATAATACTATTTTCCTATAATTTTATTTTTATTAATCATTAACGAATTAATTAGTGTACGGTTGTTCTATTGGTTAATACAAAATAAAATATACAAGTATTACTTAAAATAATAAATAAATAAATAAATAAATAAATAAATATAGATATTAGTCAATATCTAGTTTCTGACTAAAATCTGATGTTTCCCAAATTTGTTTTCTTCCCCCCCCCACATACATACATACTGAACTATCATGAATTAGTGGTAATTCAGTTAACTGCTTGAAAATTGATTATTAGTGAAGTTAAACTTTTGGATTATTATTTAATTTATTTATCCATAAGAAGTTTAACCATGTTTGAATTGAAGATTTTAAAGAAAATACTTTTATTAATATACTATGAACGTAAATATAAATCACTTGGTATTATATTTATGAAAGCCTAATCGTTTTGAAATATATTAACCTTGAGTTGTTTTTATTTTCACTGAATAATAGTAGGAGGCCAATGCTCGTCCACGAGAGGTAAGAGGTGTATGTAAGTAAGGGATTTGAATGAAACCTTTTATAATAACTAAGCCAAAAATAATTTTTACACAACAAATTAAAAATCAATTGTTTTTCGTTTGTAAAAATTTAATTATTCAAATTTAAAAGATTTAACCGGTATTTATTGAACTTATATTGGCAATACAGATTTATGAACAGATGAACTGCAGATTGGATAAAAACTTGACCTGAATTTGTTCAGTCGAGTTTCTATGAAGCTAAGTTCAGTTTTAATACTGGTTTCTGCATCGATCAATGTTAACGTTTTCATCCGAGTTTATGAACGCTCGATACACAAAATATATTATTAAATGAATTGTTGTTTAGCTTCTGAGATGACTACGGTAAAGTTGGTATTATTGATTATGAAGACAAAGGTTTTCATTTACAACTTCAGTAAACATACAGCGTAGTGATCTGTTTTCTCTTTCTAGAATACCTGTATCGTTCTTAATGTGGTTGAACCTTTGTAGTCCCGTAGGGAATATGAAATGATCTGGTCAATTATATTTGATTACTAGTAATCACAAAGTCGAACCTCAACTAATCTGTTTTCCCCAATAATATAATGCAAACAAAATGTTTTGTTACAGAAAAGATTTAAGGAACAGCTTTAAAATGAAACGTGTACATTCCAATAAAACTAATCTAGCCAAGATATTAAACAAACAAATTTTAGAATTTCCAAGTTAAAGTCATTCCTACCCTAGATAAAATTGACCTGCTAGTAAAGCGATTGATGTTACACTGTCTGATATTTATTCTTCAATTCTAATCTAAACCTTCATTATTGTGAGGATGTAAAAAGAACAGGTCACTAATCAAGTAATAATTCAAATGATTAATAGGAGAACTACAAAATCTTTTCATAGTTTATCGGCTTTTGTTTTATATGAATTTGATCATGTTCATAAAAATGTTATTTTACCATAAAGTTCATATAGTTTTCTTTCCAGGCATTCTGTTTTCTCTATACTGAGATCAATACATTGTCAAGTGTAATAATCTTCCTCTGTAACAATTAAGGATTGATGAATACGTTTTAAACAATCTGACTACCAATCGATGAATTGAAATCAATTCTGACAGAAAATAGTTTCCATGTAATATCAGCTAAAAGTAGTCGGTATGCTGTGGTGTCATTATCACGTATCAGTTAACTCGTCAATTCCACCAACAATTTGTGCTCTCACTTTACAACTCCTGTATCACGGTCAATGATAAGGCGACAAACAGATACTTAGTAGAAGAAATGATCATTTAATTTTGTAGTGAATCAATATCAAACAATATAGACAATAATACAATGTCCAGAAAGTCAACATTGTTAATGATTTGAATCATTACTTGATGGATTAGTAAGTGAGACAAGCACGTGACGTTTGCACGCAGAACTGAAGGTTCTGGATTTGAACCCGGCGTGCTGGATCGTGTAAGCGCACTGCTGAGGGATCCAGTAACCAATCAGGGTAAACTAACGCTTTATATATTTCACTCATTACCAAAAAGAACTTACAACTACCTCAACTGCTTTGTTAATGACCATCTTCTAGTAATCCTAATTCTTTAATGCTAGATTTATATAAATTACAATAAATAATTATGTGAAAGGATTTTTCATGCAAACTAAAGCAAGGACGAAACGATCATTCGATACTTCCAGGTTTTCAATGGTGGTCTTATGCTCATAATCTCATTGATAAACCAACTAGTTCTATATATGTATTCATGTTCGAATTGCGAACAAACAGAAACCACCCACGAAACGGTATAATAAATTTAACATGTAAAAATAGAAGAAAAGAATAAAATTTTTGAAGAAACCAATTTCCTCAAGCAATGAACATGTTAATGTTTTTTAACAAAATGCTAATCTTTTTAAAATGAGATGGCGAACTATCAGGAAATGGCTCTTAACTTGACGAATACAGGGATTGTGTTGTTATTTTTTTCGTCTACAGATTATTGATCTCGAATAAAAAGTAATTTTAATCTCTCTTGATGCTTTATGTAAGTAAGAGTAGAATAAAATGGTAATATTCAAAGTAAATATGATTTCAACAGTGAAAATACTAAATTCTCCACAAAACCCCCTCTGAAATATGAAATTGCCGTAAAAAATGTTTTAAAATGGGATAGAAGGTTTAAGTAAAAAGGATTATATTTATTAATTTGGGAAGGCGACAACATTTTGACCTATTGTGTTGTTTCATTGGATCCAGCTGTGTTATGCGTAGGACTAATCCAGTTTAGTTGGTTCTTATCTTTAATATGTTTTATTGCAGTATAAAAGGGAACAAAGAACAAAAGTTGAACATTTGCTCACTAGTCGAATGCTATACGACTTTTTTCACGCTTCAATACTTTTTAATTTTGTTTATCGGAATAATTCAGAATTTGCCTGAATAAATCTGAATTACTAGTTGGTATCACTTTTCCCTGAATATTCCCATGGGATTGTCATCTGCCGATTTGTTTACTTTTAAATAATGGATAAACCTATGGGCTTATTATTCTGAAGCTCTCAACAAAAAGTCTAGGACTTGGATTCCGTGTTAGTTGACACTAGTCAGCAAGATGTTTTAACAACCTTAATCGGACTGATGCTACTAAGGTCAGTGGAACTTGGGTCACGAAAAAAAGTTTTTGTGATTAACTTATTCTGGTCATAATTGATTTTCTGTAGGATGACGATAATAATACCATCTAATTATTAATTGGTATCCACTCTCGTGCTTATCTGTTCCTTAACGCTCTCTGATTTTATTTCTTCAATAATTCACTACCACTTATAGAGAATAGCTTCTCATTTCAAAATAATTAAACAATTTATTCAATTCATTGAAGATTTTCATCGCTGAGATAAAGAGCCAAGGGATATTTCATTAGAACTGTAAAGCTCTACCTAAAAGAAATCAGATTTAACTATAATGTATCTCTTATAGACTTTGGAATAAAATAAAAGTTACCTCACATTTACACATAGAAATGTGATATTTACGTTTGAAGAAACCAAATACTACCTATTAGAACAATAAAATGTGATAAAAAAAACATTAAGCCCACGGCTATTTTATTCCCATTTAACGATAACAAAATTAAGATATTCAAGTGATAAAATCTTCGTGTTACTACTTTTAATATTATCATCCTAGTATTCAACAGCATAATAACTGGTCAGATGAAACGTTTGTTCTTCCTTTTCCCACTTCTGTCCAGTAATTTCTATGTCGTTTATATATATGCTTTCCCTGTGTTTTAGAATGAAGACATTTTACCTTTTTTTCTTTATTTTAGGTAGTAAAACTGTTAATGATTATTGTAGTGTTATTTGCATCCTTCTGGTTACCATACCGTTCAATGGTTGTATACAATAGTTTCTCACTTTATGGATATCATGATCTATGGTTTCGTATGTTTTCACGTATTATGGCATTCCTAAATTCAGCTGTCAATCCAATTCTGTACAATGCTATGTCACGTAAATTTCGTCGTGCTTTGAAACGTCTGTTAAAATGTCATAAAGTAATATAAATAAAAATGCAGTTTCTACTAGAAAACTCAACAATACACTTTATATATTACAAATGCATATTTTTTGAATAAATAAATATAATAAAATGTTGATATTTCGGTGTTACATTGATTACCTAGAAAGTATGAAGACGCTAAACAACCTTCTCATTCAAATCAATGACAAAATTTATCGGTGTGCCCATAGTTCCAGAATAATATCGTTTTATCTCTTTTCCGTGAGCACAGCTGTTCATATCTATGTGGACTGATGATCTTTCAACGAAAACTTCTTAAGGATCCAAATGAAGTCCAAACTCCAGCTAATCGAAAGAAGTCAGTCATCCTCACTGTAAAGCCCGGTGACAATTTCTATCAGTACACGTTGTTACTCTCCAAATTGGAACATAACGGAAAGGAATTTACCAAAATAGGAGTGATGAACAGGAAATAAACTCAAATCTAATGGGCGACGATGTAGTCCAATTGTAGAAAGTAATATTGCAAAAGGAATTCGGGGTAGGGATAGGTGGTTGTAAGACATAAGTAATAAGTCATAACCACCTATGTGGATGAATACAAATAGACATTTAGTATTCTAAGCAGACATTCTTAGTAACAATGACATTTACTACAACTAAGTATGTAGAAATGCTTTAGTGTATACCTCACATAAACCTTCTATAGATCTCTTTAGCCACTATTAGTCTATTACATTGCATAAAGACTGATAAAAATGTTCCTTGAATGCTTGAGTTTTCTACTGATATCTTCCCCTTCACACCTGTTTGACAACTTTGGGAAATAATTAATCCATATAAAGCAAAGTATTTATATCCATTCATTTGTGTACAGGCTAGCTTTTAATTATATTACTTCATATTTAGAAAACCATGATATTTTAGGCTAGTGACCTGTTCAGTACCCAACTTATAGTTAAATAATCTGATGAGAAAATTCAGGCTTTAAAATATCATGTCGCTGTAGCCATCTTTGCAGAATTTAATTCAATTCGGGAAGATAGAGTAGTGATTTGTTTATAAGAAGCCATAGGACAGACCAAAGAATTTTTCGAACACCTTCTAACGATAAAAATGATTTCCTAGTTCTCAACTCTATAAATGGAAGTAGATTTGATTGTCAAAGGCGAAGTCAACAAAAAAAACCGTAAATTTGCTGTTCAATAAATAACCTACAGAAGCTCTTACCATAAAGCTGTTTACATTTCAAACAGTTTTGCATCATGCTTATTATTATGTATCATATATATATATATATATATATATATATATATATATATATATATATATATATATATATATGAGACTGTTATTCGCTGCCCTGTTGTTCATTGTTCACTGCTCAGTTTCATTCTATCACAGTTATACTGGTCTGACTGTAGAATCAAAAGTAATACGTAACAGATGCTACGAATATTAGTGATACAGTTACTGCCCCTTTGATTGTACAATAAATGCATCCATGCATATAATTCTTCTGGAATTTAATTTTCAATGTAAAATTGGCTTACTGAACAATTTACTTTCTTATTTTACTATTTTATATTTGGAAACACAAGTTTAACAAAGCCAATGTTTATTTCAGTTAATTCTTCAACATAGCTTTTACTAATAGGTGGTATTTCTTTAGGATCCTCCAGATCGACAATTCCTCATCGCACAGGATAATTACAATGTTTTGATTTCAATTTTCCTTCATTATGATTACCATTTTTACAATATCCTTATAGTAATTATGAGGCTTGAATATATTTATGAATTAATTTAATTCAACCTGTTTACCTTGTATCATCGTAATAAGATAATCATCTCTGGCTATCAGGTTTCCGTTTACTAAAACTTTCGTTGATAAAGTACGTGGGAAATTGTAATCGTTCTACTTCTATGAAAGTCAATTTTTCTAAGATATTGATTTTCGTAGCCTTATTATGCCATCTTTCAACCAAAAAAATTAGATATACTAGCTTCTGGTGAACAAATTTGATATTCTCGGTAAAGTTAATTTCACTCCATATATTGTTTACCTGTTCATCTACTCATAAGATCCTTCTGCTAGCCAGAAATCTTGTAGGACGTTTACATAAAATACATACCACATAATTCTCACCCAGAAGGCTAGTCATACGGTCTAGTCTTTGTAAACATTTTTAGTGTCTTATAAAAGTGCAAATATTAAATTAGAAATAATTAGATATCACTCATAGATAAAAGTTTTTATTAGTCGTTACATATGAAGATAATTAGTTTTTATTTACCTAATATCCATTCTGCTGGCAAACCACATTGATACAATGATGATTACAGTCAAATACAAGTTGTATTTAGGCTACGTATGCTTTAAACGTCTTAATATTGAATAACAGACAAGTAATAAACGACCTAGCGAATATATAAGACAATGGAGTTTGGTAATACTCGAGAATAACAAGGTGACTTACTTTCTATTTGTTATGCAAAAAAACAGGAATTGAATAGACTTATGCATTCTATCATGCACACATTTATAAAAAAAAGATAGTCAACGTTGCATATGAGTAATCGACAAGGGAGAATGTCTTTGTGACAGGAGAACTGAGATGATGAGACTAAATTGTATCATATTTTTTAACCTCGCTCATGAATTATGCAAGAAATGATATGTCAGGAACGTGTTTATCATCCAGAAGTACCGACCATAAAGATAATATGTGGACAATATTCATAAGTCCTAAAAAGGAACAAATTATATGTAGTACTCATTTACTCATTAAGGTTCTTTAGCCAATGTCATCAAGTTGAATAAAATGTTCACTAAACTACCGAAATATGTTAAGCCTAATATCTAAACAATTATCAAACCAACTTTTAAAAAACTCAACTGAAATAATTACTCGATGCTTTTTTTACTTAGCAATTTATATGCCAATGATAATTTTCCTATTTATGATAAATGTTCCTGAAATTAAATGGTTAGTAAATGCGAATCAATAAAATGGTTACTAAAAGGATACAGAGAGAATTTCTCGGAGAGAATGAGTTGAGATTTGTTTGTGTAGTTAAACGAACACCACAAACCAGAAAATCTTATTCTATTTCCTAAAGTTAATGATTAAATTTGTTATAACTTTTATGTAAAAGCATAAGTAGACTTCTAGAGTTCTTGTGGCTGTCTTATTTGAGATATGATATGATATAGATATGGTTTCTGAAATCGTGTGAAATAACTTTTCCTAATTATCATGATTGTTGTGACCTTTAAACCCAGCTAATTATTGTGTGACTTATTTGCCAATCGGAATACGAATTATACAATCTTATCACTGTGCCAAACCAATAACGTAGCGACCGGTATGAGCAGACTAGGGTCCTTATTGGTCCTTTTCCCTGCCTGGTCCGGTCAGTTGTGTCCATAATACAAATACCAGCTTCCACTGTATCAACCATTTATTTCAAACATATCCGGTTTATATACAAATCAAACAAACCACATTACACCGTAAAGTAGGAAATAACACTTGTACAAGACCACGACGAAAAGTGGTTGTGATTACGAGAACTGTAATTAATAAACTGGGCATAACTTAAGATTAGTAAATTGTATAATAATAGATTATATGTCAAAATAAAGCTTATAACAAGAGGAATATAAATATATATAATCTAGTTACTCAATAGCTATACATGAAAAAATATGTATGATATTAGTACAATAATCCTTCTCAGAAATTGCCCATAATTTGACTTTCACTAGGACGTAACAATAATTTCCTTTGTTTTCTGTACAAGACATTTTATTTATCTAACTACGGCGTTTCATCAATTATTTTTATTATCAAGCATATCAGAGATCTGCTGAACGAGAATATGGATGGAGTAAAATAGCTTTATAATTGATCGTTCACTGAGTAGTGACCTTACTCATGTTAGTCACATTCTTCTTAGCCCTGATCAAATCCTATCAATCAAATTGCAAGGTGGTTACTAGTAAAAGGACTTGACATTGCATGCCTCTGGAAAAGTTATAGTCATTGTACAATGACATGTATTTCCATTCTTTTGAAATTGTCACTTATTTAATTTTTGCGATAAGAAATGTATGGGAAAATACTTCAAAATGATCGGTTTATTTATAGTATGAGAGGTAAATAATGGACAACTGTAATTCACTCATCAACACAATAATAAAGTTTTGAGTAAGTGGTGCTGTATTTGCCATTTTGTTTATTCAAATACCTCATCGTCAATAGATGTTTACTTATAGATATGGAATGGTGAAACAACTAACCATTAGCTAACGCCATTATTGCTAGCTTTCATGCAATGTTTTCTTCCAAAATATCCCTTTTCTCTTTTTAGGAATATCCATCAGTTTTGTGAATTGTTGCCGTGTAATGTCTGCAAACTATTAAGGAAATTTCACATAAACGGATGAGAATTACTATGTAGAACATTGACTTCGGACTCTTACTCAGTGTTCCTGGTTCACTGCAAGATCTAGAGACCCAGTGTTTAGTTTGTCTTCAAATTCTTAGTACTCATTGCTGATTACTCTCAAACTAAAACAAAATCATTGAGTCAACCTCTTTGCTTTTTAATTGCCGTAAAAATGATGTTACTTAATGTTAGTAATTAACATATAATAAGTTGATTGTAGATTATTTCTAGAAATTAAATGTTTGTTGATAAGATCGTCATAAAAGTTAAAACAGATTGACAAGGACCTATACAGAGGCCACATTTTCGATTTAGAATAAACAAACCTCGTCCAAAACATTTTTGTTTTATAAATCGGGGTTTTCAGAATACCCTGAATTTTGTCAAACTATTTTCCAAAGAGCACTTTGCCATCATTCAACTATAAGTCAACGTTAACTTCGACACGAAGAAAGTCATTCTTCAGAAATGAAGACGTAAAAAGTGTTGTCACTAGCAGCATATCTATGATGGAAGAAAAAAATTTGGAAAGTCCCATTTCTGATCATATCACATCATCAGTTCTAATTTTTGTTATAATGCTCGAGGAAAGACCCTTCAAAAAGTTGACTTACACGGTTTACCTTTCAGTGATAAATATTATCGAAAGACTTGCCGGTAACCAAAGTTTAATGTCATCTTAACGTCAAGAAATACAATTATGGCCGTTTATCAGTGAATATACCAATGATTCAGAGCATTACCGTTCATATGACAATTTCTCCAGCTACCAGTAGATCGGTCAATATTCACTAATCAAAGCGTCAGATTGCTATCCTTAGAAACGTGTATAGTTGATTCATTTATTCAAACTGTTCAAATCTGTTATAATATTTTCACTTGTATTGTGATTCAAGGGTTTATAGCAATCTGCCACTCCGGTTGTTTATAGAATAGTGAGTAAATGGACAACAGCTTAGCCTCAGTTGTACTATCTATAAGAAAGTTCTGCCTACCTCTTCAGTTGTCCAATTTCAAAGTCAACATCTTTTCTGCTCTTTCACTAATGGATGAGATTATAGAGCACGTTTTTTGATGAGGTGGAATAACTGTGTAGTGTTTGTCATCGGAGCTATTTTTTCATCTCTTCCAAAGCCTAAATGAATACGTATCAATTAACAAAAGGCAATTACTGCGTTGAGGATCATTTCCTACTTCTTATATATCCACTACTCACATATGCGAATTCCATTTGGTCTATTTTTGACACAATTATTTATGAATGTCTCATAGATTTTTCGCGACTGTGTAAGTTTTCCTATGATTTCTAATTTATTCTTACTCTGAACTTAATAAGAAAACTGTCCTACATGTTTACGTCCGAAGTCAAATGGTTAAATTGTGTTGTCTACATCCATTCTGCTTTGCATTACGTACAAATGTTTCTAGTCACTTGAATTTTTATATTTATGTAGGTTATTCTGCTAAACCTATATTTCTACGCTGGGTTACTAGGTTGATAGACTTTTTAAATTTTCTTCCATTGCAGTCCAGTTATCATTATTATTCGGAGTATGAAATGTCAGTACCATTAACTATCTAATTTTTTAGTATGCCCCGTAAATGCTCCACAAATGGAAACCAATGTTTCATTATGTCGGTTATTCTGAAGTAAATATAAATATAAATAAATAAAGGTAAGAATGAAAATGTAAAATTAATATATAAATTACTTAGTAAATACCTAGCTGACATCAGTTTATAAGTGAAATTATCTTCGTTGATAAATATATTTCTATTCCATATTCCAAGGAGTTATGGAATGTTGATTGTAATTAACTTTGAA